GTTTCACTACTTCCAAAACAAAATACTAAACATTTACTATAGACATACCATTCTATACGATTATAGAGAGTGTGTAAAAATTGAATAAACATAATTTCTTTGCTACATTTAAATAAACATAATTTCTTTGCTACGAATAAATCTAAATATTTAATTGAATATGAAAAGAACTTGATTAAATTACTAATGTCTTGACTCTTGAGAAAGAGCATATTTAGATAAATAATTTTCATAATTTCAAAACAATTTATTATCTAAAATGGAGTACTTTATTTGTAAAACTTACCGAACAAAATAAGATCATCATCTTCAAGTACTGGGATCTGCCCAAATGGCTGCAAATAAAGTGTATAAACACAAATTAAAAAGTTATTTCAAATAAAAATACTAAACTTTTTTATAATAGTAATAATGAACTTAACATTATTTATAGATACTTATAATGCTAGTAAATAAAAACTAAAAAATATCAATATATAGAAAATTTATGATATACATATAAATATGTAAATATAAAAGATGTAGATGAAGAAAGATTTACATTTTTAGAGAGGAAAGGAGGTTGTTTATGCTCAGCAACAAAGAGATCAACAGGAAGAAAGCTCAAATTCAACTTCTTTTTCATGCAAACAAGTCAAAACTGTAGCTGTGCATGTTGATATTGGGAGCCCATACACCTTCACACCCATTATTATTGCCAAAGAGAGAAGAGAGAGTAAGAGAGTGTATAAGAAAGTGAAAGACTATAATGGTATGTAGTAGTATTTATGGTTTTGATTGTGTGTATATACTAGTAAAGAGTTACTTATAAGAGTTATAATTAGAATCGTGAATGTCAATTAATTTAGTTGGTAAAGTACGTACGTATTGATGATGAGAATAATATCGTAGAAAATCAAATCAGGAATACATTATAATTATGTTGTACGCATTAATATAGTGCTTTATTTTTATAAACAATGTAAATTTTTATATGCGGTCGAGGTTACTTGTTATGGGGTTACTGTTCAGTCAGTTAGGGGTTACTCGTTAAGGGGGCTACTTATTCAGGTGTTACTCGGTCAGCCAGGGGTTACTTTCACACAAAAAACGCGCTAACCGACTGAGTGACCCTTGAATAAGTAACCCTTAATTGACTAAGTAAACCCTTAATAATAACCTCATCCACACGATGTAGCCAGCCACACAGAACAAGCACCGTACATATAAATAATTGTTTTCAATTAGAAAAATCCCGAATAACCTAGCGCTCCTTTAAAAAGATAATAATAAACCTTGTTTAGGTTGGTAGATTGCACACCTTAGCAACAATAATTCAAACATAGGGTCTGACTGTTAGAAGGGTATAATGCTTAATTAATTTAGTACACTACATATAATTATGAATGACGGTGTAAGTATGTGGTATTGATTCAATTTGGTAATATACTAGTTTGAGTATCCAATTAACTAAAAATGGTTTGATGGTATTCACAATTCACTTGATAAAAGAGTACAGTTATTATTAATGAAATTATTTGATGATTCCGTATAATTTCTTTTTGAGACTTTCATCATTTTGTCACTTTCATGTATTGTTCTTATTATTACTTATTTTTGGGTTGTTCTCGCTATATTTTTGTTGATTATCTTTGTTTGCAATTGGTCCTTGGAATTTGCTAGGAAGGAGTGGCTAGTATTGCTTCCAAAAGGAGCAATATTTCTACCAAAAGGAGTAGTAGTTATGACAAATAAATAAAAAGCTACGTACTCTTTTGCACCTAACAACACTTTCATCAAATAATAATGATTCGATATATCTTTCAGATTGTCTTACTTTATGTAATTACAGGATGACTTTCTGTAACACTAGAAATGACTTTGAATATACGTTAAAATGTCTGTCTATATAATTTAGAGAAGACTACTTACACGATTGAAGATTAAGCAAGTAGGTTTCATATGAATCAACCCTAAAAGAATTTGACATAAATGTATTGGGGATATGGGATTGCAGGTTTCACATTTTCACCACATTCAAACTTATTAGGCACTTATTGTTGACTAAGGAAGGATATGGTCAAAGTCAAAGTCAAAGTTACAAAATGAGTATCTTTGAAAATGCACAATAATTCGATTGCACACAATCAATCAATCAGTCAATGTTCTCTATGCACTGCCTACCGCCTAGAGTCTAGAGATGAAGAATAAACTAAACTTCTAGAACTACCACCCTACAATAATTATACCTAGATTCGGTCCAACTGCCCTCACATTTATACAATAATTATTTATTAATGGATGAATTCAATGAAATTAAAATTACCATGTGATTAAGTTTGTGGTGCACAATATAATGTCTACTAATTTGATGTAGATGACTATAAAAGTATAAAGAATAAACATGTATTTAGATACTAGCTAGGAAGAAAACAAGCTATGACCGAAATTAGATTTGCCTACATGTTAGGCATATGTAAATGAAAGATCGAATTTTGTATACATTATGTGAAGAAATTATAATGAATGCTCAATGAAAAGGTGATCTAAATAAGATGAAGCAATTTTTTTTAAATATAACACGGTAACTAAGTTAAGTTTTGGTCTACCTTTTTAAAATTAGTGATTCAATCCCCATTAAAAACACTCTGAGAGAGTGAGACGGGCGGATCCCTGTACCTTACCTCTCACTTCCCAAGTGTATAGCCCACTAATACGGGTCGATTTTACACGACATGAGATTTATCCTAATAAAAACTTTTATCTTACCTACCAAAAAACATATGAAATATTAATTCAAATAGAGGTGGTCCTATACTACTGAAATATTGAAAAATAATGGCAATTAAATACCACGTTAGCTGTCAAAATTTCGCCAAATAGTCTTTCTTAGATAATTAATGGATCACCCACATTGATTAGGTTTCCTTAATCCATATAAATTTTAAACAATAAGATTGCTTAGGGCTTGTAATCCACATAATATAGATATAATGGATTCAAAGTCTATATAATTTGACCTTTCTTATTACTTTATTTTTAATATAATCTACTATCTCGCTCCGTCTTTTTTAGTTGACACAATTTGACTTTAGCATTATTCACACACTTGTCTTTGACCGTGTTTTGTGATTTATACGTAATGAAAAATATAGTCATGTGGAATCTTGTTAGATTCGTGACGATGTATAGTTTATTCACAATATCAACTTTTTATATTTTTTTCTTATCGATAAGTAAATATATTAAGGGTTAAATTTGTGCATTGACAAACATGACTAAAAAAACTTGTCAACTAAAAAGAAACAGAGGAAATACATTTTTGGTTAAAATTTTATTTTCTTGGCATTAAAATTTTAAAAATTTCTTCATATATATACTACCTCCTCCGTTAACTATTATTTGTAACAAAGGGGTATTATTCGTGAGATATATAATATTCTTTTGTTGCAAATAATAGTTAACGAAGGTAGTATTAGGAAAAAGGAAAATTTCTTTATATAGTTTAAAATGCATGAGTAGTACGTATGATCAGGTCAAGTCATAACACAAATTTCAGTGAACAATCTTCAAATCTGTCTGTATTATGTACTAGATCCGAATAAAAGAATGGAGGATCCTTTTACACATTTATCAATATGATTGGGTCAATGTTACCCGTTAGAAATGGCCACTTTGTAGGGTTATTATGACTTAATTAATTGGGCCATTATATTTATTAAATTCAGGTTGGAGCATCTCAAGAAATGCAGTAGTTGGAGTCTAAAAACTACATTTAAAAATACAAATATTAGTATGATATTATATACTTGTATTATTCTTATTCTACAAGAAAATTTGGAGAATATTTGCATTATATCTCTTGCTTGTTGATGTTAATTAGGTTATAAGGAATCTATTGGAGCAGGTACATAACTGGAAAGACTCTTTAGGTTAATTCATTATCCTTTGAAAAACTATCTAGTATATACAATTTGTTTTCAGACAAACCATACATTATTGAATAGATGATTTCATGATTTGATAAAATTGTTTTTGAAAATTGTAATGAATTAAAGAATATGTTAAATTATGTGTATAGCTCGAAATGAGATTGAATTCCATGGTTAGCAATTGGTACAGTATAAGTGGTCCCCTAAACAAGATGATCAGATTCTGAGCCTAACTCTCTGAAACTGACAATCAACTGCAAGTATCCTAAGCAATGCAAATAATTAGATAATTATGCTCTACTTACAACTTTGCCGTTCACATGTAGCAACATCAAAATTATATTTTTGTCCTACAAATATGTGATTGGTTGAGTAAAATTAGTCTAAATAGGTTAAAATCTAACAGAATATTACTCCATATTTCACAAATTGTTATGTAAAAATAAGCTAACTTCAGTGAGAATTATATACAAAATTAAAAAAAATATAGAATTTAATAAAATTTAATTAAAAATAAACAAAGTTCAATAAAAATAAATTAGGAATAATACCCCATGCAATATTAGACCAAAAAAAAAATACAGGGTAACAACCACAAGAAACCCAGGGAATCTATAGTCTACACATTCAGCGGTGACCTAGGAAATGGTAATAGAGGTGTGCTGATTTTTTGGTCTAAACACTGCAAGTCTTTAACGATCAGTTTCTGTATGAACCCACCAGGCCACCGACGTAGTTGTAATGTTATTTTGCTATCACTTACTAATGCATAATTTCAACCATCAGAACTTTAAATATCGGTAAAAAGTTTATATTTGATCAGTATAAACTAGATCTCACGTAACTATTTTGAGATAAATGTGAAACATTAAAGATAATCAAGCATAGTTGGTAAATAGTGTAAAGTTGAAACATTGCAAATAACTTAGGACCTGTTCATATTTACTGAACTAAGCTGAACTGATTGAAGCTGAACTTAGTTGAAATGAATATTTAATGAGAGAAGGATATTAAGAGCTGAACTAAACTGATTAGAGCTAAACTGAACTGGTTAAAGTTGAACTGAACTGAAATGAAATTAAGCTAAGCTGAACTAAACAGGCCCTTAGATGTAGAAAGTATTAAAACAACATTATAAAAAAAATATGTGCCAAGAAGGGTCTGTAAGCAAGCAGCTTCACATATTACATCTTATCAGTTAAAGAGCATCCAATTACAGCGATCCAAATAAGTAATAAGCCAATATTTACAACATAAACATGCGCAGTGCATACCTCTGAAAGCTTAATAGATACAGAGGTAACCGAAATGGTTAAACAAAAATTATAAAAAAATATACATTGACGAGGTTAGAAAGGTTCCTCTGGCTTTAGAAAGTTGTTATATTCCAGTTGGGTCATCTCTCCACCCTTTGCAGGATCAAACTTGCAACGATAGAAGCTGCATTACGAACGAAACCGTCAGTCGTCACAAAACTTGTATTGCCCATAATACAATAATTAAAAATTACCTAATGCACAAAACGTGCACACAAAAAAGTTGTCTAGTATTCAATTGAAGGGCAGATGAAAAAAAAGGCACCATAAAATCTTTTCAAAAGAGAAACAAAAAGGCAACTAGAAACAAAGGATAGGGATATGCAAGGTTTGAATGTTACAACACAGAAACGGGTGGATTCAATATTGATAGACATGTCACAAGTCTGAAGAGGAGAAAGTTTAAGAATAAGATGTCCCAACTCCCAAGATGGTGATTGGAATCGGGAGTCTTGCCACTGGATTCTTGTATCATGAATTTCCAAAAAAAAACACACACACACACATATCGAATCTCACCAATAACTTTGAGAAATTGATACTCAAAATACAGGTAGATTAACAATGGTCAATGAAACATTCAATGATTGAAAAAAGTATGCTAACTGCTGAGGTATACCACCAGTAACATATTTTATAACTATGAAATATATGCAAGTATGCAAGTGATTTTATAACATATGTTCATCCTGCGATTGACGGTACATTGAATTTTAATTACAGATGTATTTTCTCCACTTCAGTTGTGCAGGCACCTCCATAGGGCTTACTTAAAAATTCAGACTTCCATTGCGAAGACCAGTGGATATTTATCAGTGGATATTTGAACCAATAGAAGACTGCTTGGTTGGTTTTCATGTCAGCGTGGCTTTAAATTATGACCTATAGTGCTTTGGAGGGTCAATAGTGTTGGAAGCACAAGGAGTTATAAAATTTTCCATGTTTAAACTCATACGAAAGAAAAAAACAGTTCGATACAACCACCAGGAATATATCCAAGCTGAGCATTTAATCAAGATGGCGAAAGCTGTATTATAGCTTTGCCTAATCACCAGGGAAAATCCAGGCAGGGAGGAAGTCAGCAAAGTGGAAAGGCAGAGTTGCAAAACGGATAAAAAAAAAAACCTAGGCATATTGGCCAAGGCCTAGCTTGGGCCGCAGTGGGTTATTTACAACATTTCGCATTTATGAATTAATTAATCTTGGCCATCCACTATACTAGGGGTGTAACAGCATGTTGAAACACAAGGTACTCAATTAAATCTTGTGTGAGAGTAGTAATTTTGATTGCTCAAAATCCATCCTCCCCCCCCCCCCCCCCCCGTCTCTCAAAAAAAAAAATAATAAAATAAAAAATTGAAAAAAGGGGTACTTTTGAAGTTGAAAAAATCAACATAAAAAATTGAATTAAAAATTATGGATCTTTTATGCTGCAGCCTCCAGGCTCTCTAGCACCTCAGTAGCTCAGTGTGCACCTTTCAAAAGCTAAAAATGGAAAGGACTTGATAAAAAAAAGTGGTCCCTGTTACAGCCAAGGGCTGCAATATAATGGCTTTCAGCTGAAATCTTAGTTCCCATTAGGGGAGGAGGGAAATAAACCAACATCCACAGCATCATCAACATTGCAGTAGTAGAAATGTCTATAATTATGATGAACTCAGCAACACTCGACAATATAAATTCTTATCATAACATGAAATTTAAAGAGCTGCATATACTTTATACCATCAAAAGAAATAATAAAAACCTTAGATGTGCTATCTATTTGGTTACTGACCTGCCATCCATGCCAAGAATTACCACTGTATTCTTCTGATGCCCAAATGCAACGATATACTGATTCCCTTCAACTAAACGAAATTGAGCAACTGACCATTCTGAATTGAAATACCTAGGCAATACTCCTGCACAACGAAAATAACTCAGGCCAGCAGGTAATAGAAACAAATATAATATTACTAGTAATACATTTTTCCAAAAACCAAGTTACACTTCCATCAATCTATGGTCACAAGTATGTACACAGTTTGGTCTGGACCGTAACCAAACCAGACCAAACTGCATTTTAGCGGTTTGGTTTGGTTTACGGTTTGGAAAAATACGGTTTGGTTTCGATTTTTTGGGAAATACGGTTCGCGGTTTGGTTTGGTTTTTCAAAAATTATAAACCAAACCAAACCGTAAACCAGTAAACCGCATTTTAATATTTATATAATTTTTAAATAAATTAAAATAGTTATTATATATTATTAAAAAAATAAAAAACGAAAAAAATGAAAAATCATTAGAAGACTATAAGGTCAGTATACTACTATACTCTATATTCAATCTCAAATATCAATACTTCAAATTCAATAGGTCATATAACTATAATGTAGTATGAATTATTTTTTTGGACAAACGTATTATGTTTTTTTCCACTGTTAATTTGTTATGTATTATTTTTATTATGTGTTAGCACTTAGCACTTAATTAGTTGGTTGTTATTTTTATTAAAAATTTGTAGTAAAATTGGGCTAATTATTTGAACTTTATTATAAGTTTATTAATATTTGACAATTTTTAGGAAAAAATGTCGTCTCATCATAAACCGCAAACCAAACCGCATTATTACGGTTTGGTTTGGTTTCATTACTAATATGGTTTGGTTTGGTTTGGAAAATTGACCAAACCGTATTTTGCGGTTTGGTTTGATTTAGACTCAAACCGCACCAAACCAGACCATGTTCACCCCTAGTCACAAGATAGTAACTGACATCACAAAAAAAAAAAAAAAAAAAAAAAAAAGGCTACATAAAAATAAGTACAGTAACAGCTTAACGGGTTAAGCTATTGACAAAAGTAGATATTGTTAAACTCCTCTAACGTACTCAATACCAAAAAGTCAAGAAAATGAGAACTATCAGCCTGATAAATTACTTAGAAATCAATGATATATCAGCCTTAGCTTGATTCTCCAAAATAGCAAGAACAATGCACTTACAAGTACTATCTAGCATTATCTATGAGTATCAACCTAATTTCATATGAACACCAAATGTGCAATATTCTAAATCTTCCAAGATTTATATATATATATATATATATATATATATATATATATATATATATATATAGGGGAGGGATCCGGTGAGAATAGGTTCATATGTGAGAATTCATACTTATATGAGAACTGATTTTAAATTTAGAACATGTGAGTAAAAGTTTAGAACATACGAGTAAAAATTTAAAACATGTGTCTGAAATTAAAATTTAGAACATCTAATTAATAATTTAGAACATCTGAGTAATATGTTTAGAACATTTGATTTAAGAATTAGAACAAGTGATTAAAAATTTATAAAATCTACTTTATGAAATTTTAAACATATGAGTAAAATTTAGAACATTTGTTTAAGATTATGAACATGTGAATAAAAATTTAGAACAAACTGATATAGAATATAGAAAGTGTGAGTAAAAAATTTAAAACATACGAATAAAAAATAGAACATACACTTTAAAATTTGGAACATATAATTAAAAATCTTAGAACACACATTTTAAAATTTAGAACATATAAGTTAAAATTTTGGAACAAGTTATTTAAAATTTATGATATTAAACTTAACTAATTTATGGTTTAGAACATGTGAGTACTAAATTTGAACATTTGATTTAATTTAGAACAGCTAAGGAAAAGTTTAGAACATCAGATTTAAAATTTAGAACATACGAGTAAAAATTTAGAACATAAAGAGTGTTCTCACATAAGAAAAATTCTCACATAAGAAAATTTCTCACGAGAGCCTCCCTATATATATATATATATATATTATCATCACTGCACACCAGATTTAGATCACGAGAACACAGGAGCAGCACAGCCAACAAAATCAGATTCAATGCAAGTATCAGCACCATCAGCTTGATTGGTATAGAGGCCTTAAAACAATTTTAAGGAAATACAAAGTTTGCACAGCCAAGGCTGTTTTGTCCATGAAATTGATGCCCTAAAGAAACAAAGAACGATATTATACCACAATTTTTTTCTAACCGAATAGTTGGTTTTAAGCATTTTAACTAAAGAACGGATGTAATTGAACAAGTGGATATTCTTGTATCAGGAAACACACATAAGAAAAATTTACAAATGAAAAAAAAAGGGGGGGGGGGGTAAAAAGTTGATAAGTTATTCAATGCAAGTAACAGCCACCTATAAAAAAATTTACACAGATATCCTAAAAAGTTAATAAGTTAAAACAAATTGTTTATTATATTCTATACTATCCAAAATCCTCATTAAGCTATGGGGCACAATTCTTTGTAATGGAGGGAATGTGAATGAAAAGTAATTAAGAGGAAGACACATGAGAGGAAGACACATGGGGCAGGGACGACTAGGGATGGCAATCTAGTCCGGATCCGACCCTACTCCGCCCCGATCCGAGGTAAAATATCCGCTCCGAGTCCGAAAAAAAGTAATCCGAGTTTGACTCCGTTAAAATAATCCGACTCCGAGTCGGAGGAGGGTCGGAGTCGGATCCTACAAAAAATTCGAGAAAAAAATCCGACTCCGACAAATGTCCGACTTTAACGGATTATCCGAATCCGACTCCAATAGATAGAGGATTTTTGTGTGGGTCATGGTGGCATTGGGTGTGGGTTGTAAAGGCCCAAATAGCCCAACATCTCAAAGTATATTGAATAATGAAAAAAAAACTCGAAGTCGGGTCGAATCGGATCGGAGTCGGAGATCGGATATTGAAGTCGGAGTCGGATTTAACCTCCGACTTCCTGTCGGGTCGGAGTCGGATTTAACATAATCCGCTCCGAGTCCGACCTGTTGCCATCCCTAGGGACGACATAGGATTGAGGTTTGTTAACAAACAGAGTATTGATAAGTCGTATTTTGTGCGTGTTTTTAGAGTCCATTTAGGTAGTTTTCATGTCTAGATTAGTTGTTCCTAGCTTATTTTAGCTTGGTTTGGTTTGGTTGTGATCATATTATGCTTTTATGGGTAGTTTCGTTGTTTTTGATGTATTTCAGGATGAATGAGACTAATTTGGATGGTCACAAGAGTTCGTTACGGTGAAGGAGTAGTATCCCGTGTCCACCCTGGCAGCCAGGGCGATGAAAGGACAAGAGATTAGCAAAGGATTACTACGAAGTAATTGCCCTAGCAGCCAAGGCGATGAGGATTTGTGTTGTTATAAGCTTTAAAGGTCAGCATCGTGGAGTGTCTTGCGCGCCCGACCAGGCAGCATTGCCCGGGCACACGAAGTACAATCCTTGAAGACTTCAGAAGAGGCGTAAGATGTGAGAATGCTATGCACACCAGATCGGGCAGCATTGCCCGGGCTGCCCGGGCAATGTGTCAGCGACCTATTTTTCCTTGTTTTTCGGGATTTATTATTTCAAGGGATATAAATACCACTTGTAAACCCCGATTAAGTTACTTGGTTATTATTTTCCAGCTTTAAAAACTTTCATTAGAACCCTAATATACTCTCTAGATCTAGATTAATTTGCAATTTCAAGTTTTTAATCTTTGTTCATCAACAATTGGTACTTTTCTTCATTCAAATAATTGGTATTCATCTTTTCTTCTTCTTTTACTTTTATTTACTTATTAATCATGTTTTCTTCATTGAATATTTTTTTGCTTCCGTATATATGTGTGAGTAGTCTCTTAAATCCGGGATCTTGCAGAACCCGAATATGATTGATGCATGAATTATAACATTAAATTCTCCAATAATAATCCCAATTGACATGCTTAATTGATTATGCTTATGTCAATACTAGATTAGTGATAATTAGTATTGTCATTATTCCTTTGTTTTAATCGCAACGAGAGTTGGATTTTAACGGAATTGAATAGATTAATTAAGGGTTTGAAGTTCATCATGAGAATAGTTGAATGAATTATTAGGAAGTTAGAGTAATGTGCTTAATGTCTCTAATTTACATGATTCCATGAGAATAGGTATGATTGTGATTAGAGAAGCCATTGATAACTCGAGAGAGACCTTTGGTATTATCTAGGGATTACTTTTCCTCTTGTTAATTGATTTATATATTAGGGGTAGAATTTTTATTACATTGATTGTATTCATGATAATGCTTGATCTTGGATGTCTTTAGTATTTGATTTATCATATTATTTAGTTTAATCGCGTTCTTGATATTTAGTTATTAATCCTCAATTATTTGATATGGTTACTTGCTTAGTAGTTACTTCAGTCTATTTAATTAGTTGAACCATAGTCTCTTGCGATTCGACCCTTGCTTGCCCGCCTACATAGTAGTGGTCTACTAAGGTTTATTTTTGTTAGGTACGCGACATGCCTATCATATAAACAATTGTGTCCATGTTTCCAATATCCTTCGTTAGGCTATGTAACTCATTGAGCTCACTAAAAGAAGAGTAGGACATGTACATTTAATTAATGAACAAACCCCTTAGTACAAGAAAATCCCTCTTCGGCTACATATAATTCTAATAATCAACTTAAGAAATAAAGGCAATAAGCAATGAGAAATACTTGTCTGAAAAGAAGTATTTGATTGTCGCCACTGAAAATCCATTTTGTGAAATAAATAAATAAAATAAAATAAAATAAACTTTCCATTTTTGTAAATATAACTAACATTGTATCCCAGAGGAAAAATTAGAGGTATCAATTCGAATGATCACATCAGGTTTGATGAGGTTGGGTCGAGTCAAGTCAATTTTTAAAGTTGATTTATGCTAAATTATTGTGTCCACGCAAGTCCAAATCTGAATCGGATATTTTTCGGGTTAGTTACGGATCGGGTTGGGTCGGGTCGGGTGTGATTTTGACACCTCTAGGAAAATTATACAAGATGCTGATATTTAACACAGAACAGGAGACATAGGTAATGATATAAATTGCCAGCAGTGACTGACTGACCTTTAATAAAAGAAAGAGATGAGCCAGCAGGTGCACCAGCAGCATTGCTTTCAGGAGCAGGATTTGGATTTTCAGTGCCTGGGGAACCAGAATTAACCTTCAAGCTGAAGACATGAACAGTACCCTTGTCGCTTGAAACAGCTAACCACTGAGCAGTGGTAGAGAAGGCCAAGCTGTATATCTCTGCTCTATCAGCACCTCTTCTTACCTACAGTACCCAATTAATCTGATATGTAAGATTCATTGGCAATCTTGTATGCCATTGAGAAAAAAAAAAACTCATTAATGAAAGCTACAAAATATTTAAAACAAATAGGGGCTGCAATAGACAGAGTTAAGCAGGTTCAAATGTATGGAGCCTTAATACATTAAAGTAATCATGCAATACAAGTATACAGCCCACATCAACATTAATTATAATCAGAAAAAATGAGAAAAGTAGAAGCAGTCCACCATAATACAAAAACTAAGTATATATTAACATTGTTAAGCACGTTGTACATACAATCATCAACTTACTAATGACAGTGAAGCTTAATGCCATTAGTTCACAATGAAGCCTAAATGATATTTGAAGCAGTGTGAAACCACAGATTTCCAATCTAATTGCAAAAATAAGTAAGTTCACATGCTATAAAACACAAACAAAATATTTAAGAATGGGGGGGGGGGGGGGAGTACAGCAATATAGTAAAACAGATGTTAAACCAATCCCAAAATAATGATTATGAGAAGAATGCTTTATTCAATGCTGGTTCCTATTAAAGCAATATTTTTCAATGATAGGAATCACAGGTGCTCCTATAGTGAGAAAATACTAGTTTATCTCCTTGATAAACATTAATTGTTTATCAGAGGCAAATATGAAATTAAATGGCATATTTTTGCACTGTTTATAGGTAAGACTGCTAACACCGTTAGCAGCTACGGTTTTGCCCCAAAATATTAACAATTGACCAGTCCCTCATCCAACATTGCTCAACTTGTTGTGTGGATCTCCAGTGCAAAAGATGCTTTACAATCAATTGATAAATCATGATCAACATTATGCCATGGTCTGCCAACCAAGTGAAAGCGAAGCAAAATCCTTCACAGCCCAGTTTGAAACTGATTTGCTGTTTTAGATCGGCTTTATATTGTCAGTGCCATTTAGGTTTTAATCAGATAATCTTCCTTCAATATAGATTATCTACAAACAAACATAACTATTGGTAATGAATAACACTTCAAGTTCTTCGTCCGATAGTTTAGTGGACGCAAAGAATATGCTACAGATACTCATATTTTCAGCTGTGTATGTGGTTGTCAGATGCTGACAACTGTGGCAACCAAGTTTCAGTGGTTGCAGCTCCCAATAACTTGTGCACTTATTTGTTTGCATTTTAGTTACCTCTAAAATTTGTAGTGATCACATAATTCGTGATGAAAATCAATGTCGTCCTTGATGAGCTATAATAACCATTGTTGCACTCTTCAAGCTATTTACCGTTTCTCAAGCCAACACCAAACCGAACACAACATAAAGCTTGCAGCCCACAAGTGACCATTAAGGCATTCACTAGTTAACTGTTACCCATTTTTATCAACTACAAACATGCCAGCTATCACTTTACCCCCACAATGTGAAAGATAAAAAAGAAATTTCTTCACCTAGGCACCTAAAAGTTGCATTCTGCCTCTTTGGCTTTCAACTACACTACAATTCCACTCTCTTCAACCTAGTCTCAACAAACGAACCAACTTCATAAGAGATGTCAGGCATCAACTAAACACAACCTCATAATGTTTTATATTTTCAGCTGTGTATGTGGTTGTCAGATGCTGACAACTGTGGCAACCATGTTTCAGTGGTTGCAGCTCCCAATAACTTGTGCACTTATTTGTTTGCATTTTAGTTACCTCTAAAATTTGTAGTGATCACATAATTCGTGATTAAAATCAATGACATCCTTGATGAGCTATAATAACCATTGTTGCACTCTTCAAGCTATTTACCGTTTCTCAAGCCAACACCAAACCGAACACAACATAAAGCTTGCAGCCCACAAGTGACCATTAAGGCATTCACTAGTTAACTATTACCCATTTTTATCAACTACAAACAGGCCAGCTATCACTTTACCCCCACAATGTGAAAGATAAAAAAGAAATTTCTTCACCTAGGCACCTAAAAGTTGCATTCTGCCTCTTTGGCTTTCAACTACACTACAATTCCACTCTCTTTAACCTAGTCTCAACAAACGAACCAACTTCATAAGAGATGTCAGGCATCAACTAAACACAACCTCATAATGTTTTATATTTTCAGCTGTGTATGTGGTTATCAGATGCTGACAACTGTGGCAACCAAGTTTCAGTGGTTGCAGCTCCCAATAACTTGTGCACTTATTTGTTTGCATTTTAGTTACCTCTAAAATTTGTAGTGATCACATAATTCGTGATGAAAATCAATGTCGTCCTTGATGAGCTATAATAACCATTGTTGCACTCTTCAAGCTATTTACCGTTTCTCAAGCCAACACCAAACCGAACACAACATAAAGCTTGCAGCCCACAAGTGACCATTAAGGCATTCACTAGTTAACTGTTACCCATTTTTATCAACTACAAACATGCCAGCTATCACTTTACCCCCACAATGTGAAAGATAAAAAAGAAATTTCTTCACCTAGGCACCTAAAAGTTGCATTCTGCCTCTTTGGCTTTCAACTACACTACAATTCCACTCTCTTCAACCTAATCTCAACAAACGAATCAACTTCATAAGAGATGTCAGGCATCAACTAAACACAACCTCACAATGTTTTATATTTTCAGCTGTGTATGTGGTTATCAGATGCTGACAACTGTGGCAACCAAGTTTCAGTGGTTGCAGCTCCCAATAACTTGTGCACTTATTTGTTTGCATTTTAGTTACCACTAAAATTTGTAATGATCACATAATTCGTGATTAAAATCAATGTCGTCCTTGATGAGCTATAATAACCATTGTTGCACTCTTCAAGCTATTTACCTTTTCTCAAGCCAACACCAAACCGAACACAACATAAAGCTTGCAGCCCACAAGTGACCATTAAGGCATTCACTAGTTAACTGTTACCCATTTTTATCAACTACAAACAGGCCAGCTATCACTTTACCCCCACAATGTGAAAGATAAAAAAGAAATTTCTTCACCTAGGCACCTAAAAGTTGCACTCTGCCTCTTTGGCTTTCAACTACACTACAATTCCACTCTCTTCAACCTAGTCTCAACAAACGAATCAACTTCATAAGAGATGTCAGGCATCAACTAAACACAACCTCATAATATGTTATATTTTCAGCTGTGTATGTGGTTATCAGATGCTGACAACTGTGGCAACCAAGTTTCAGTGGTTGCAGCTCCCAATAACTTGTGCATTTATTTGTTTGCATTTTCGTTACCTCTAAAATTTGTAGCGATCACATAATTCGTGATTAAAATCAATGTCGTCCTTGATGAGCTATAATAACCATTGTTGCACTCTTCAAGCTATTTACCGTTTCTCAAGCCTACACCAAACCGAACACAACATAAAGCTTGCAGCCCGCAAGTGACCATTAAGGCATTCACTAGTTAACTGTTACTCATTTTTATCAACTACAAACATGCCAGCTATCACTTTACCCCCACAATGTGAAAGATAAAAAAGAAATTTCTTCACCTAGGCACCTAAAATTTGCATTCTGCCTATTTGGCTATCAACTACACTACAATTCCACTCTCTTCAACCTAGTCTCAACAAACGAAGCAACTTCATAAGAGATGCAGGCATCAACTAAACACGACCTCATAATGTTAGCCCTATCATCATCAAAAGTTACATACAATCTCGCGATTACAAACAATAAATATCACTATCCGGCATCACAAGACAGAGGCATACTTGATATCTCAAAATTCTGTAACTGTGTATAGCTGTATACTTCTGAATCAAATTAGCTATGAAACACATGAGTACATATATTTATCTATAAGAAAGAAAGACCAAAAAGCAGTGCCATTAGAATCAAATCAAATATAAATTATTTCTCAAGCGAAAAACGAAACTCGAATTAGAAGTTACCTCCTGCAGCAATGTACCATCAAAAGTATTAAAGATCCTCACAAGCGTCCCCTTCGAGCTCGCGGTAGCCAAAAGACCCCCATCTTGAGTTAAGGAAAAGCAAGCAATCCTAGAATCATGAGCCATTATAAACTTAGTCTTTCTAGAAGCATAATGCTCAACCCGAATTTGCCCCTTCCTCAATCCAGGACAGACTAACACCAACTTCCCCGCCGATTGCGAAACCTCACACAACCCCTTTGGATTAGCACTAGTCTCAATCTGATGCAACAGCTTCAAATCAGAAAAATTATAAACAAACACCTTCTGCTCCAAAACCACCACAATTCGATCACGACGAAGCCGAACACCGCGAACTTCCGACCGAAACGACAATTCCCCAATACACCTGCTCTGATGATCATCCCAAATCATAACCTTATTAACAGGGTACTGAGGGTCAGGTCCTCCACCAACTAAAGCAAGAATATTACATCGATACAACATTTCCACCTTCCCAATACCCCCACCTCGATCAAAATCCCTTCGAAAAATTTCCCTAAAAGGATCACAATTATAGATTCGAAACCCTCGATCAGTCCCAGATGAAAAACACCCATAATCTTGATTAAACGAAACATGAAGAAGAGCAAGAGGCTGAGAAGATGAAAGCGAATTTGGGGAATTGGGATTAGGGTTAGGGTTTTCCGATAGAGAAGTTCGAATTGGGGGAAGAGTAGAAGGAGGAGAGAGAGAATCAGATTCTTCGGGATTGGAATCGAAGTAGAGGTGATCAGATTGCTCCGACATGGAAGTCCCCGGCGATGAAGGTGGTGGTGGGAGATTTGGATCAACTGGGAGGAATGAAGATGGGGAAGAAGGTGAAGAATTAGGGTTAGGGTTTGGATTGTTTGGCCAAGCTGAAACGGTCGCCATTGATGAAAGCTTCAATTTATTTTTATTTTTTTATTTTTTTTTTTTATGATGACTTTTTTTGGGGGTGATTTTATAGATGTAGAAGAAGAAGAGTGGTAGAATTGAGTGAATTTGAGAGAGAAGGTAGTTAGGACTTAGGAAGTTTATTGTTTTGATAAATTTTTTATGCTTAGTTAAGGAGATTAGTGATTTACTCCTATAAGATAGGGATTAAGGATAGTGACATTTGGATTGGATTCTTTGATTGGGTGTTAAGTAAGGAAAATGGTATGTTGTGAACACGCAATTTGTAATTGCTCCATTGCTAATTTGCATATTGGAATATAAATTACGTAGTATTTTAGTTTTGGACGGTAGTCGTGGTTTGGGATTTGAGACTGTGTTCGTTGTGATTTATTGTTCAGCTAATTGCCTGCTTTAGCTGCTTATATTGTCTAAGTGATAGAATCCACCTCTTTTCAATGTTTTATACAAGTATGTCTTTTCTAGTTCAAGCGTTAGATTCCATTATCACGATTATGTAAGAGGTGATCAACATCAACTCGACCCAAGCCAAAAATAGGGTGGGTTTTGATGCGGGAGTTTTAGAGGGTCAAGTTAGTCAAGCGGTCGATAAGGCTATATCTCTTACATGTCATCCAAGTAGGCTTCTATTATCGTTGGATTGGATCGTGGCCTTCTCAGAGGGTCGTTTTGGGGCTAGAGCAGGAACGGATCTTAATTTGGTTGTACTCCAATGGGACGACATTGGAGAGAAGGTAGACTAAATTAGAGTAGTAGTTTTAGCTTACTTTTAATTAATTATTTAAGAAATATAGAAAGTTAATTCCTATTTGGTTTCTTAGTAATACATTGGCAGCTTGTTGCCTACTAGCTATAGAGTCCTAGTTATATTAGGTTTATAATTAGTGTTTAGTCTAGTTGTCCTATTAGGAGTAGGAATCTTATGTCGATTACTCTAGTCTATAAAAGGCCATTAGTTTGTAATTTTTATTCATAGTTGAAATAATAGTTTTCTTGAGTTTATTATTGCAGACTTACGAATTAAGTTTGTTTGTTCGATCTGTTTGATTGAGCAAGCTTGGTTTTGATCCCATTTGTTTTGGGGTTTTTTGTACATACCCGAATGGAGGGTGTGTACGTCCCTCGGGAGACAGATCTGCAATGCAACACTCGAACGGCCCGATCACCTGCAAAACAACGGACCCCGGGGGGGGGGCGGAGGTCCGTCTCCGACGATCAAGTCAGTGATCAATATAATGTATTTTAGAGAGAGAAAGTAGAGAGAAGGGAGAGTAAATGTGGGGGGCATTGCCCCTTGGAGCGAGAATTGGCTCTCTTGAAACTGATGTAATGATCAGTATTTATAGAGCATTGGGATATGTGCCTTTTAGGTCATTTAACCTAAAAGGCTCTAGGTTTATGGGCTTGGAGCCCATTATCACTCTTCTATCATTGAGTGACACGTGTCATGCTCTAATTGGCTCATAGAGAGCTGAGCTTGCGGACACGTGTCGTGGTGGCATTGGTCCACATATAGAGGGTAATTTTACCCCAAACATTAGCCCCTCGGAAGGGGTAATTTCTCTTTCAAGAGGAATTGCTCCTTTCGAAATCAAGGCTTTGCCGCTTGTTCAAAAGCTCTTTGGTCGGCATGTGTCTAGGTCAATAAAAGAGAGATTTGATTAACTTGGAAAAGTTGATACCTTATATGGTATGACATTTTCTAAGTTAATCAATCATAATAATGATTGCCGCTTGAACTAGACAGATGACGACTTTCATTTCTTTATGCCCCACTATGGTAGGATATTTTCGAGACGTTTGATATCTCATAAGGCAGGAAGCGAATGGCCGCCTGACAAGACAGGAGGCAAATGGCTGCCTGGAAAGTTTTGTAATTATACTTTCAATGTCCTTTTACCCCATTGGGAGGACTTGTATAATTTCTGAAGGTAATCTAGGTAAGAACTTCGGCCGGTCACCTACTGATGTCTTTTAGACATTCGGTTCCCGAAAACTTAGTCGTTCTTTAGATTACCCAGGTCAGGCGACTATGAGTTGACCAATTAGGTCGTTCAATCTTTGCCGTCTGCATGTGTTCGTAGAGCAATGTGCCACCCAAATGGGAGATGCTTCTCCTTGACGAATTCGCCCGAATGGACGTCGCCGGTTATCTGACTCATGTTGGAGCAGACGGCCTTACTCATGTTGGAGCAGGCAAATTTATAGAAAACAGATAACCATCCGGCCATTAGCCTCATGTCTTTTTAAGACGGTTTGTATAGCCACTAAGTTTTTAGCTTAGTTTATTATCCGGCCATTGGCCTCGATAGCCTCTAATCATGAAACAGTAGTCGTTTTCCATTTTTACTAGAACAGTTGGAAAACTCTATGCTTTTTAGATTTCACTTTAGATTAAATCAAACAACTGCGAGTGCTACCTTAGCATTCGGTAGGGCCGCTTGATGTTTTAGTAGAGCAATGTGCCACCCAAATGGGAGATGCTTCTCCTTGACGAATTCGCCCGAATGGACGTCGCCGGTTATCTGACTCATGTTGGAGCAGACGGTCATACTCATGTTGGAGCAGACTGTGGCCGTCGGCCTCTAATAATAATATCCGGCCATTGGCCTCACGTCACTTGGACGTTAGTTTAGCTACTAAGTTTTAAACTTAGTTTATTTAATTAATGAATCAACATTCAATAATAATAATAATAATAATAATAATAATAATAATAATATTCAAATAAGCTTTAACCGTCTTACTTGAAGGACCATGAAAGGCCGGTTGCCGAGCTTATCCGAATACGAAGGTTGCTTGACATTTATGCCGCTTGACCATAATACTCCCAAAGAGTCGCTCACAAATATACATGCGGCTTCTCATGCTCATATTGGTGAGAGTAAGATACATACTCTTGAGGTGATGTTGCTCCACTTATATGAGAGAGCAGCTTCACATATAAACATACGGCTCCACGCCACTTAAGTTAACTTGCAGCTCATAATAATGCTGCTAGCCCACTGGACTCCTTAAGGTGAGTCGACGTATTTTCTGCCTGGAGCATATGCAATCACAGCCGGAGTTGGGGTTGCTTTAAATGCTTAAAAATCGGAGTCGGAGATATTTAAGCTCCTTGCTAGAGTGCCATGCGGCATCTGCCGCTTGCTTTCAATTTAGTTTGCCTCCTATGCTAACTCATACAAGATAGGACGCAAGTTCTCGAAATCCGGCTGCTCTTTCCCATTTGCGGCTGCTTGGGTAAGTTTGCAAAGTGCCGAGATTCAATACCGTCTGACCCTTGTATAATATATACTCAAGTAATATGCTACCCATGTATAATATATACTTAAGTAGTGCCGCATGCTTTTTTTTTTTTTTTTTTAATCATAATAATGATAATTATTGATTCGCATAATACTCATGCGGTCTTTCAACCAAGTAGCTGTCCAGCCATGTCACAAATGTTTGAGCAAACTCTCGGCATCACACTCGGCTCCATGGTCGGGTGCCTTGCACAACGTATCGACCTCTCGGCTTTTAAGCTAAGAGATGACTATGTATGTATGTTGGTGCTCGGATACAAGAGATTGAGGTTTCCCTCACATTAAGGGGAGCTTGCTCATTTCACTCGGCTCTTATGCCGCCTGTATTTGAGTTTAGCTAGGCACTTAGTTGCCACTTGACAATCATGTCACTAAGTTTGCAACTTATTTGGCTTAGTAGCCGTTAGACTAAGCTCACAATGATGATAATGATGATCAGAGCATCCGGATGTGTAGGGGAACAAAGCAGCCCCAGTCATCGAGCTCAATGAGCCAATGAAACATCCGGTCTTTATGAAGAACAAAGTAGCCCCTATGGCTGTGCTTATTTGTTGAGCGAAGCATCCATGCAGCCGCCTTGATTGTGATCACCAGCCGTCACCTTTTATAGTGATAACCGGCTGCTTTAATACGAGTCGGCATTTTTGCCACTTGGATTGGAGCAACTTGGGCTGGCTGTGTGCTTCAATTGAGAATAGTACAAGGGGTAGCAATATATACATACGACATTTTTGCCACACCCCTTGCCGCTTGTACCGCACTTCTTACATGAGTACATGTTGGAAAGATAATTGTATTATTAGTAATGTTTATGATAGTATCTGTTTCGGGTGAAAACAATGGGACCTTGCCGAAGGTCCGCTGAAACGGAGAAGACTGGATTCGGTCCAAGTTATGCTGGGCCGAAGGTTTCCTGCACAGTAAACACACGTAAACTAGCCTCGGGGGTGTTGCCGAGGAAGGCCCCTCCGATGCTAAAGTCAGTACAATGTGTAGAAAGAGAACACTATGCAAGAGAATTAGTTGCTTGAGGCTTTGCTTGAATATATGAGAATATATGAATCTATGAATGATATGAATGTATGAATATTGATGGCTTTTATACCTCTTCATACATGGAGAGGTTAGGCCTTAGCCCAATTGGCTTGCTTTGAGGGCTGACCTTTGACTTTAGCACAATTGGAGAGTTGAACCTTGACCTTGGGCTTTTAATTGGATCATTTAATGCTTAGGCCCAATTGGACTAAATTGGACCCAAACAACTTGCCCCCCAGACCCGATTTGGAAGGATGACGGGTCGGGTTTGATTTAATTCAGAAAAGGAGGGAAGTAAATGATTTAATTAATCCAAAAATTTGAATTTAAACCGTAATTAATGAGATAACAACGGTTAAGGCGGATGATGGTGGAAGTTGGATCGCAAGGTCGTGTGTTTAACGGTTACTTAGTAGGGTATTTAAGAGAAATTGAAACGCGGACTCCCCGTATCCCATTCCTGGAGATATAAACAGAGGCGCGTCATCTCTCCTCACTTATTCACCAACACAAACCCAGAATTCTCGAGAGAAACCAAGAACCCGCATCAAAACTTCGCAAATTCCCCGAGCATTAAGCTTAGAAACTGAGACTTGCCACTACGAACTCGTAAATCGGCAACTTTCGCTTCAGATTAAGGTAAATTCCTTTGATTTCAGTTTATTTTTCTTTGAATTCGAACTCCTTCCCTTTTTTTTTCGAATTTTTTCTTCGAAATAATCAATGGCAAGAGGAGTTAGAGGTAGAGCCCGTGCTCCAAGAAGAGCAAGACCAATTCCCGATCCTAGGAACAGGATTGGGACCTGGAATGGACAAAGGCCAGAGTCTGACCCTGCTGAAGGGATTAGGGCGACTCCAATTTCCTCGGCTCCTCCTCAGAGAACGGAGGGGCCGAGCGCTTCTGGACGGGACGATGAAGTTCCCGCTGTCCTTTGGGATATCCTCCCCGGGTTTTCAGAGTGGGAGAATGCCGAAGTAGCTTCGGCCATGATAAAGAACCGCCCCTACTCATGGT